TAATCAGTCCCTCAACCTTGAGTCGATGTGTTCAGTCATCATGTCGGTTCTCTGAAGCATTCATCTACAAATACTAATGCATACATACAAAATTCCTTAGGGCAGAGACAGAGTGACTATGAAAATACTATATATCAAAATGGGGAAGTTTAATAAATGGGGTTCCTCAAGGATCTGTATTAAGATTAATACTGTTTCTGGTTTATGTGAATGATATACTACAAGTGACTGAGTCAGATGTACCTCTGTTTGCAGATGATGGAAAACAATTGAGGAAAATATAAGCAGATGAGGACAAGAAAGACTACAAATGGATCAGGACAAACTGAAACCAACTAAGTCACGAAAACCTAGTGAATTTATATTTTGTATTATGAAGTGCACATTGTAGGACCTTGTTTTGAAATGTCACAAATTTTAATTTTGTATAGTAGACTGTTGCCTCGTTTCCTTAATGGTGTTTAAAACCTGTCGACTACATGAGGGTCAGTGACTGAGGCTGAATGTTACATGTTCACCCGTCAAAAATACTTTAATCCTTGAGGCTTTGGGTGGCTGAAGCTCCCAAAACCCCAACCCCTCCTCGGCACAGCCACTATATTCAGATAGACTATATTTACCGTGAGCAACTCTCAGCTATTTTGCAGGACTGATTTCCACCACCAGTCATCTACAATACCCGAAACTCACCAGGTGGAGGCGGCTGCTTGTAGAGTTCCAAGAAGCTGGGCTGTATGACATTTGTAGGTTTAGCGCTTCTTTTTTATTATAATAATAATCCAAGAAGCTGGAGGGATGTTCGAAAGGTATTCACTGGATACGAATAGTTACCGGTACGTCAATTTTTATTTAAATGTTGCATTACAAAGTTTTTAGTATAGTCTTGAGGGCACACAAGTATGATGAGCGCACATGTACAAGACATTAATTACATATTTAACCTAAGAAAACCTAAATTATGTAAGAAAGTATTTCATCAAACTAAGAGTTGCAAAAAGGCAGAATGAACTGCAAGCTCTTTAATGCACAGTTTCAGGAATAAATATTATAGGTACCAAGGAGGCGGAATAAGCGCCGGTAGATTGTAAATTGAAACACCGGACCTGAGGTTAAGATGCCCTCCATACCCACAACTCTGGGAGACTCTCATCAGTCGACGAACTTCAGTACGTATTTATAGGGACTGGAGGTGCGAAAGTTATAACCCTAATTTTTAAAGATGTGGACCGGTAAAGCAGCGGAAGACCTCATATGATGACCCGCAGCTGGAGCTGCGGGTCATTATATGACAAAGACCCACGTCAGGAAACCCTTGCCCTGTTTCTTGACCAATCTTACCTAAAGAGGTGCGAGATGAGTTGGTGATACGTCTCACCCTGCCCAGGCTAGGCTGCAACTAGCAACACCAGTAAGACACATCTGCAACACTTAAGTATCTTTGTCCTTTGTCATTTATTATTGAAACGTTTCAGCTCCTCAGCAGGCTTCTTTAGTCGAATACAAGCGATTAAAACACTGGAGACTGAAGAATTGAAGAGAGAATTGTGAGGTGATAATCCATCAGTGTTGATAGGTGGTCTTCAGCCTGTCTCAGGTGTTATAATAACTTGTATTCGACTGAAGAAGCCTGCTGTGCAGGCGTAACGTTTCGAGAATGAAGATATCTAAGTACTACAAATATATCTTACTCATCAGTTTGTCGGTACTGTATACCATTTACAATACCCAAGCACCAGGTATACGGTGAATTCATTCGTGCCCAACAATTCGGTAATCGAACTCGGTACCTAACAGTAGGGATTTTGGACCATTTTTATCCCTAATGTGGAAATTAAGGGATTTTATGTGTAGTATTCCCATTGTTTCGTATTAGACGTTAAAATTACATATTTACATAATTGTATAATAGGTATTGGTATGAATACACGATTTTCCAGAAGTTTTTATTTGGCACACCGAAGGGGGAGGACCCTTCAAAAGTTGCCTGAAATTTGTTGTCTTCAGCTTTTCAATTTTATTTCACTTATAACTCTTTATCCAATCGGCATAGAGCGCTGTCTGATTTTTGTGGGTTTAGCGCTTAGTTTCTATTATAATAGTAATAATCGAATCGGCTTCAGATTTTCAACACTTGTACAGGTAATGAGGACCACATTTTTGGAACATTTGGCATGTTTAAGTGCCCTATGATCGTAATTTTTGAACCCATTCCCGTCCTGGAATAGCTCGGATAACTTTCAAATTCCTCAGTCGCATTTTTTAGTGTTTTTAAGTTTGACAAGGAGAGACTCCTGTATTTCGGAACATTGTCGGTAACATTTTTCTTTGCTCTCTCACTAATTTTCGTTTATTACTCAGGAACGCCTTATTCGATCTGCTGCAGATTTTCAGCGTTTGTGTAACGTATCTTGCGCAAGATTTGTGGGGTAAATTGCATGCGTGGGTGCCCTGTGTACAGTGCTACATAAGGCATACTTAAAATTTGTTCCCATGTGAATGGTGGAAACAGGTTCCTCTGATCAGGTTGAAAATTTCAACATGTGTATCCTACTTAGAATAAGGTTGGTGTATTTAAGGGAGTGTGTAAATGTAATTTTGCCACTTAATCTCGAAATGGTATAGTATTATTTTACCTTATTGCATTATTTTGCCTTGATGGCGGGGGGCTCTTGATCCAAGGAAGTGTATTTATCTTGTCATTGCTTGGATCGAATTTGAATGCCTCCCACTCCACAGGAGCTATATGACCCCTACAGGTTTAGTGATTTCCTCTTTATAAAATATAACAACTGTGAACGGCATCAATCTTCAATGACTGATGCATCGTATGAAATGGATGGAACGTTTTTTCATAGGTTTAGGCTAGTGTTCCTCCTTTTTTGTGTTCTTATAGCTGCTTAACCCATAATGGAATGCATAACTATATCTTCATTTCCCTGCTGAAGTCTCCCAGTTCAGGCTGATGCGTTTTATCACCTCAGGTATGCTGTGTGAGGGAGTATGACAGGAATTATTATTATAATCAAGAGGGAGCAGCGCTAAGCCCGTAGGATTATGCAGCGCCTGTGGGGGGAATGTGGAAGGTATTTAGGCTTAATTCAGGGAACCGGAGCACAGATCCAATTCCCTAGATCAAGAGCCCTTCACCAACATCAAGGAACCTTCCTTGAGGGGAGTATGACAGAAGAAGCTTCCTGCTTGATGGAATAAGAGGAATACCCTCATCTGCATTGTGCACGGACAGGAAATTCATCCTGTTTAATGGAGCTTGTCAGGAAAACATCTCTTGTTCCCTAAATTTAACTATGCTATAAATTCTAAAATACGATAGCTGCCCACTGCGAGTGTTTTTCCTCAATGTAACATGTTGAATAAGGAAATCATATACTACTGGAGTTCCCACATTGTATCATATATAATAGTGTAGTAACATACTGTGGATATTTCCACAATGTAAATATCATATATAAAGGTATATTATACTGGGTGTTTCCACAACGTAAGAATCCTGTATAATAGATTGTCAGCATTATCAGCACACTGTGGATGTTCCCATAATGTAGCTGATACCAGCTTCTGAAGTTTATGTAATAATAATAATAATAATAATAATAATAATAATAATAATACATATGAAGGTTAGTTGTAGAGTATTTAGAAATGAGAAGCCTCTTGCATACATTATTATGGGGAACGCTAAACCTGTAGGGATTATACAGCGCCTGTGGGGAGTATAGAAGACACTCAGGCTAAACTTAGGGAACTGGAGCACAGATCCAATTCCCTATAGCAAGAGCCCTTCACCAGCATCAAGGAACCTCCACTGAGGGGCTCTTGTACACAAAGGAACTTCATTTCCTGTGATCATTTTATAAACAATATAATTGGACGTTAATTAATTTAATAATAATAATATTAATATCTAGAGGTCCTTTTCAATGTGATACATTACAATGAAGGATGGTATTAGCTTCCGTTCTGGCCAAAACAATGCACACATTGGCTATGCAGGAAGTACCTTAATAAAGAGTTCTTTTTCCCTTAATGTTTGCCATATGTACTGTATTTGTGTAAATATGACTATTATATATGTGAAACAAGCTTCTATACCACAAGACGGGCAGAAAGCAGCAACTTCACTCTGGTTGTGCCTTTCTCCATAACATCACTTCATTTAAGATCATTTATCCCCAGGATGACTCGAGTATGGAACACACTCGTACAGCATTATGATGTCAACGAGATAAAGTCAGACGATCAATTGACAATGCTGGCCCACTAAAATGGCTCCAACTTCATCCTGTTCCCTTCTTGTATTTTCATAATAATAAAAATGTTTTCAAATGAGCTGATGTAGGTAACAGCTCTTAGCTTGTCAGTAAAGTAAGGGGTCCTTAATTTAACCTTGTCAAACCTTGTGTAAAAAAAAAAAAGAAAAAAAGAGTGAAAGAACTGATGTAGGTAACAGCTCTTGGCTTGTTGATAAGTTAGGAACCCTTAACCTAACTTTGTAAAACCCTGTGTAAAAGAGAGAGACAGACAGATAGGGGAATAGAGAGAGAGATGTATAAAGATAGAGTTAGTTTAATATCTTTATTATGCACCCCATACCCATCCTGTGGGCGGTAGTCAAAAGATTACAAAGGTACATAATGGGTCCAGGGACTGGACCCCAAAGTTATAGCTGAACTAGTTACAAAGGTAATGAACTCCAGGTAGATCTGGTCACAATCATGGCAAGTTACAAAGGTAATGAATCAGCGTCACTCCTATACATGGTTACAGTCAAGAACAAATTACAAACTAATGGGAAGATACAATAAAGTATGTAAGGGGTGGGGGTGGGTGAGGGGTGGAGGCTGGAGCCAACAGATGGCGGTGGTGAGGGTTGCCGGTGCGACCTGTAGTGGCGCGAGTGTGTGTCGTCTGCCCGCCTCACTCCGGTAAGCTGCTCCTCTATATCATTATTAGCACCTTTACAGCGAGGGTCATGGTGTTACCGGGTCCGCTGATGTCTAGTGAGGGCATGGAGCCATCACTTCCATGTTCACGTAACCGGGAATCGCTGGTTTTAAAGAGCTTCATTGATATGACAGCAACCGTTGTGGTAATCAATACGGTGTACCGTCCTCATTCACGGTATATTTCGCGATTTTTAACCTGTGTTGTGCTGGTAATATGTCCCATTGCGTGTCTAGATGAAGGTATGTTACTTAGTTTATGTATCATTGGTAATTTAGTGAATAATGGAAGGTTGTAAATGTTGATGGGAGTGCGGGCACGAGACGCCAGGCATTAGTTGGTTGGTTGTTATTTTAGCGTCGGGATCAGCTGTGCATGGCAAGACCAGGAGTGGATGAACCTCCTTATATTTTACTATCTTCTCTTGATCATTGATCATTACTATCTCCTCATTGTTACCTTATCCATTTGTAATAGAGAAGGGGGTGGGGCTCCCGCCATGTTAGTCTACCTCAGAATTTTATCTCAGAACTGTTGATGGAGGCCGAAAAAAATGTATCGGTCAGTAACTGTCATTCTTACTGTCCTAGGTATACAGCCTGGTTATTTACGTATGCTTGCTTGTTAAATTTTATACTGTAATCGTCTGGGTGTTTTAAGAGGTAAGGGAAACCCCGTGTAGTGAGGTTTGTCATGTTTCCTGTCTCACCCGTTATCTCAATACCCTCGTTGTGTGTCCTACACCTACACATATTTTGCCATACCCTTAAAGGGTGTACCTTGATGCATGGGGAAGTGCTCGTGATCCAAGTAACGAGCTACTTTCCACTTGTCTTAATTCTGATGACATATTCCCCGGGCGTTCTATGAATCCCTAAGTAATAATTGTCACACAGAACGAATTGCAAACTGTACTGAATTACACACAACTTGTAGGGTCTATAAAGCTTCGGTTACTAAGAACTGTAAATAATATTCCGTCTGTTTACTTGTACTTTTACAAATTTGTAAAGTGGTTACTTTAGGCAAATTATAAGCATAAATAGTAATCAGTTTCGAAAAATTAATTTAGATAAACCCAACGAAACCAAATAGTGTGAATTAACCTTTAAAACAAAATAAGTATATTGTTCTTAGTGAAGAAATATGGAAATCTTGTTTGTAGTGGATATTTCCCTGGTGGCAAAATTTCATATTTTATTAACATGCTGGTGAAGGGGCCTTGATCTATTGGAGATTCCTTCCTCGGATTTAACCTGATTACCTCTCGAGGCGTTATATGATTTTTTTGCAGATTTAGCGCTTTTTCCACAATAATAGGCACAGTTGGCTTGAAGTAAACATTGTAGCCCGGGGAGGAAGATATTCGTCTCTTACACCTTATATTCTTTGTATATCTAATGACTCAGTACTTTTGTCATAATACTTTTGTACAAATTACTGAAGATTAAGACACATGTGCAACAGTTTGGTATCTTTATTGATGAAACGTTTCATCAATAAAGATACCCAACTGTTGCACATGTGTCTTAATCTTCAACTTGTCGGTGTTTTATACCATTTTCAACAAGGTATATATATTGTGCCTATCATGCGGGTACACGATCATGTTCACTCATCCTCGGCAGCACACACTTACCACCTCGCCCTCGCTACGTACCACCACACCCCTTCACCACCATATATGTTCACACATTGCCTTGCCACCACACACTGAGTATTTATTGTTCAGTACATTCATACTAAAGACATACAATAGTCTCGCTCAATAAACCCACTTACAGTGAAGTCACATTCAAACCAACATTCAAAACTTGTACTTAACTCTATCCTTTCTGAACGTAAGTTTATCCAACTTGAGTCGTTGGTGTGAGTCTTATCTTGGTTAGATATTTTTAGCATGTACGTTTTTTATATTCCTTTTATTTCGGAAGCACTTGGCTTTTACTCGCTGGAACGCAGGCCAGAGAGATGTATCATAATCTACACTAGGAAAATTCTAGAAGGAATGGTCTCCACTCTTCACACAGAAATCACTCCCTACGACAGCAAGACTGGGCAGGCGGTGCAAAATACCCCCAGTGAAAAGTAGGGGCGCCATTGGTACACTGAGAAAACACAGTAAATGTCCGGGGCCCAAGACTGTTCAACAATCAACCACCAGGCATAAGAGGAATTACCAATAGACCCCTGGCTGCCTTCAAGAGGGAGCTGGACGGTTAGTTCAAGTCGGTGCCGGATCAGCCGGTCTGTGGTTCGTATGTTGGACTATGTGCGGCGAGAAGTAACAGCCTGGTTGATCAGGCTCTGATCAACCGGGAGGCCTGGTCGTGGACCGGGCCGCGGGGGCGTTCATACCCGGAATACTCTCCAGGTAGACACTAGTTCTGCGTCTTTTTAGAGAACAGATTCAGTGCCTTCAGCCTCTTAGAAGAAAAGATTTCTGATACATGGGATCAACTTTGTCATTCTCTGTATATTATCCAGCGCGTTTGTAGTGTTATATGGAGACTATAACTGAGCAGCATAACCTAAATGAGGCCATACCAAGGATATATCAAGTTAAACTATAACCTGAGGACTATTATACTTCTGAATATGTAGCCAAGTATCTTATTAGCACTTTTGATAACACATACACTATTGTCTTGGATTTAAATTTCTGTAAACCAGAGCTCCCTTTTTATTTAATTGTTTGATTAAGCGCTGTATTTGGCTTATTAATAACAACGATAGTCTTTTCCTAGAGTTACACCCTTACAGAACACAGAGAGTAGTCGTCAACAGAGTAAAGTCCGAGGCAGCTACGGTGAAAAGCTCTGTTCCACAAGGCACAGTACTCGCTCCCATCTTGTTCCTCATCCTCATATCCGACATAGACAAAGATGTCAGCCACAGCACCGTGTCTTCCTTTGCAGATGACACCCGAATCTGCATGACAGTGTCTTCCATTGCAGACACTGCAAGGCTCCAGGCGGACATCAACTAAATCTTTCAGTGGGCTGCAGAAAACAATATGAAGTTCAACGATGAGAAATTTCAATTACTCGGATATGGTAAACATGAGGAAATTAAATCTTCATCAGAGTACAAAACAAATTCTGGCCACAAAATAGAGCGAAACACCAACGTCAAAGACCTGGGAGTGATCATGTCGGAGGATCTCACCTTCAAGGACCATAACATTGTATCAATCGCATCTGCTAGAAAAATAACAGCACCTTTCAAGGCAGGTGAAATTGCCGACCTAGAAAATGTACAGAGAACTTTCACGGCGCGCATAACGGAGATAAAACACCTCAATTACTGGGAGCGCTTGAGGTTCCTAAACCTGTATTCCCTGGAACGCAGGAGATACACGATTATATACACCTGGAAAATCCTAGAGGGACTAGTACCGAACTTGCACACGAAAATCACTCACTACGAAAGCAAAAGACTTGGCAGACGATGCACCATCCCCCCAATGAAAAGCAGGGGTGTCACTAGCACGTTAAGAGACCATACAATAAGTGTCAGGGGCCCGAGACTGTTCAACTGCCTCCCAGCACACATAAGGGGGATTACCAACAGACCCCTGGCAGTCTTCAAGCTGGCACTGGACAAGCACCTAAAGTCAGTTCCTGATCAGCCGGGCTGTGGCTCGTACGTTGGTTTGCGTGCAGCCAGCAGCAACAGCCTGGTTGATCAGGCTCTGATCCACCAGGAGGCCTGGTCACAGACCGGGCCGCGGGGGCGTTGACCCCCGGAACACACTCCAGGTAAACTCCAGGTAACATTCATCCGCATTGAACAGCATCTACAAGAAATTATCTGCCTGCCTGTTTTAGTGTCATAGGTAAATTTTGGAACGAGCTGAGGTAGAATAACTCTTAGCCTGTACAAAACTATTTTAGGTTAAAAAAATAAATTCGCAAGATAAGAACGCTCCTTTGTAAAACCCTGTGGAGATTCATTGATGAAATTATATCTATCAGGGTAGCTTCGAATTGCATCCGAAATGATCGATTCGTTCAGCTTTTCCACGATTTAATGTTAAGAATTAATCTAAGTCTGCCCGAAATGCCTAGCCATGCTAGGTGTCCTAGTGGCCCCCTCTGTAATTAGTATTTTATAACATGTAAACCACACAATACCCAAAACCTGTAAACCCCACATTGTAACCCTTATAGAGAATAAACTTGAATTGAATTGAGGTAAGGCTAATTTGAAACAAAGGACCATTGACCATAGGTCTATAATTTGAAGCTAAGGACCTCTCTCAACATTGTCCACTTATCCAGTACGATACTCGTTTAAAGTTGCACTTCTCTGACATGCACAACAGTGTGTATGCGTGCGTGTACAAATCACAGGACGGATGGAGAGTTCATTGTAAGAGTCCTGAGACTCATTGGCTTAAGAGCTTGAGGACTCGTCTACCATGAGTCGGAGCCCCACCGGTTCTGTGATTTTGTTTGCAATTATTAAGATTTCGTGAGTAAATCTGTGAAAGGCGCAACGAACCCAGAAACTGGAAATAGAACTTGGATGACGCTTCGATCCCTCTTGTACCATATCAGGTCCCGAGTCTTAGTAATTTTCCTGAATGAACTGAAACATCGTCTAGGTTCCTGTTATAATTTTTTATGGTTATTTTTGTAGCTACTGTACTGGGACTGATTCTTCATTTGGTATAATTCAGCTTTGTATACTCGCCTAATTGTAGTTGCAGGGGTCGATTCATGGCTCCTGGCCCCGCCTGTTCACTGCTCGCTACTAGTCTTCACTAATTGTGTGTTAAGTCGCAACCAATCCTCGTAATCAGTGTGACATAGTCTTGTGCTGTTTTGACTCGAAATGAAAAAAAATTGATTGTGACTATTAACGTACGCTGGTGGGTGCCCGTTTTCAGTTCACGTCCAAAAGTTACTGTTGCCATATACTGAATTTATTGGACATATGTTACGATTCTTTAAAAAAAATTCCTTTAGATTACAACTTAACCTTCATAACATGTACTGAGATTTTTTAATCTTATGTGAGAAATATTGTTGCTTTTAGAGGACAGGTTGTTACAGTGCTATAACAAACATCCGTGAACTCTTCCTCTAGGACCGAAGCACTCGCTGTGTAGTGTATGAACTCTAATGAAACTTCACTCTGTAAATCATTAACTACACAGCAAGGCAACTCACATAGGACTCGTCACAAATTATGGTAAATATAATATATGCAGATAACATTATCTGAGTTACACTCG